TATCTGTACTGAAGTAATAATGTTTCAAGATGGAGAATGGAAATGTAACTAATATATATATTTACCAGTGCCACGATCAATTTGATATATTTTGCGTATGATCCATTTCCACATCATTTATTTAATATTTTTATCATTGCAGCAAAAATTTAGCATTCAGATTGCATTTGCATTATCCTCGGAGAATTTATAAGACGAAAGTTTGCTTTGCATAAAATGATTTTAGAAAGAAAAAAAAGAACGAGTATATTTAAAAGTTAAAGAAAGAAAGAAAGAAAAAAATTGTTTAAAAGCTGCTCAAAGATCATTAGTTCAACGCCGCTATTCATGTACGATCTTGCATGTAAAATATATAAAACAAATATCTACAGGATAAATAAGAATAAGTATATTTCAGTAAAAAATAGAAGAAACAAATATCTACAGAAAAAAATCAACAGGACTATAACTTCATTTCAGTTAAAAAGAAAGAAAAAAATGAGTTGAGAATCAAGGCTGCATTCCTAAGTCCGAACCTATTCGAGTATAATATTCGATGTAAAATTGAAAATAATCATTCAACAAAATCTACAGAATATAGTCATCTATACATAATAATATAGATGACTATATTATATTTAAAAAGAAAAATAGAAAAAAGTGCTTGAGATGAGATTCGAACCCGCGATCTTCTGTTCGAGTATCATCTTGTTTCTAAAATTTAACACGACTCATAAATTTTAATAAAACAAATTGCTGCGATAAAAATCTAACATGACTAGAACACCTATATTTCAATTAAAAAAGAAAGAAAGAAAAAAACGAATTTTTCAGAAGTGCTCCAGTCGAGGTATCGAACCTTGGAACTCTGGATTATGGTTCCCTTGGGATTGCTAAACTGCGACATGGAAAAAATAAATAAATAAAGTCGCTGAATTTTAAAACTGTGCCGCAGGCCTTTGCCTGGACACTGTAATTATGTTTCCACTTCACTAATAAAATCAAGTAGGACCATTGCAGGCATGCCTTATATGACATACAAACTATAAGCATAGTTCTCAAGTGGTCTCTAACATACCTGTTACATATTTTATATCTATGATATACTCTTGCTATACTATGATAACCCTTTCTTGGGAAAATGRCATGACTACATTAAGTACCTTTTCCTTCTCAGATAGTCCAACTAATGCAGCAAGATCAGCTCTAACACTGGTGAAACAATTAACATAAATGATGAGCTGCAAACAACAAAAACAGCATATGGCAAGAATAATGTGTGTGTGCATAACRGAAGAAAAACATATAAAACTGAATAGATTTGAATCATGACTTGAAAAACTTTGGAGCAACTTACTTTGCTTGGCACTTTAAAAGTACATTGAATGCCCTGAAGAAAAAAATAAGATTAATAGTTAAAATGGAAACTTTAATTAATACTATCAAATTCATAAATAATTCATAAGGTAAACACAATGGAAAATCATTGCTGTGACCGCATCTTTACATGAGAAAGAGATTTGTCCTGATTTGCACACAACTTTAACTTCACCTTTCTCTTACAAATTATATTTTATCCTGAAGTTTTTTTCGAAATATGATTTAGCTTATGTTGGAATTTGATAAGCAATATAAAATATTCGCTTCCGACCTTTATGGGCTATAAAACTGCTTGCATGCAGCTCGCAGCTTTAAATGCCCATAAAGGTCTCCCACTCATATTTTATATATTACCCAATACTAATTGCCAACGAGCCAGCCGAGCGAAGACGCGAGGCTGGTGAGGCGGCATCATCATAGAGCCAATGCACAAAAAAGGTTATGGAGAACGAAGCTCGATGCGATGTAATGTAATGCAATGTAATGTAACAATGGAATTACGAGTCAACTAATTGGAGCACACAATAGAACTCCGATCTAAACCAATCAGAAGCCACAATAGTCTCGTGGTCCTGGCATCGCAAGTCGCTTGCGAGTCGTCGAAGTACGCCATAGCTAAAGGATTAAGAAACTGAAAAGTACTGAAAAGACCATAAACGGTGAGTAAATTAGGTCTATGTTCCTTCATTTGGTTGTATTGACCTGTGCACACTTCCTAAGAGTGTTTTTAGTCAATCCTCGAACCAGCGTGTTCAATAAACTTGAGTACCAAAACGAACCAACGCGTTCACGAATAAGCCAGCATGCCACTGCACTATTTGACAAACTGTCAGTTTTAAAACAAACAAAACTATCTAACAAGAGCACAGAGTACATTTCATTGAATTCTCACATTGAGTTAAAGTACTCATTTATTGGCCAGTGCCTTTTATGATTTACGGCACAACGAACAATTGCTTTCGGAGAATAGCTATCCGAGATATCCATGTTCAGTGGGAAGACTATTATGACTAATACAATTTGATTGACTAAAAACTCTCTTAGGAAGTGTGCACAAAGAAGGAACAGAGACCTAATTTACTCACCGTTTATGGTCTTTTCAATAATTTAACTTCAACAGTTTCTCCCTTTAGCTATGGCGTACAATTCAACGACTCGCAAGCGACTTTGGAAGAGTCTATAGCCGGGCTACTACAAACCATTAACATTGCAATGATATATTGACCGAGTCTACATAAAAATCTGACACTTCTAAAAAAAATGACATCATGGAGGAGACCCATCCAGGATAAGATCGAAAAGACAACAAACTTCACGACACGAAACTGGTTTCTTAGTTTCTAATTATGTGACATATTTCGTCTATTTAACTGGTTGAATGACACGCTAAATACCCTTCATGACAATTTCTGGAAAACATCATCTGTTCGTTGGCACTTAGCGGTAGCTATGACTAGTACTTTAATTAATACTGTAGAATCAGTCTTACCCTACTGCATTTGTATCAAGCTGAGTGTACAGTGAAAGCAGTTTCTTCATCCTTTCCTTGGTCTTAAGTGTGACAGGAACTAAACAACCAGACAAGACTCTCTCGACACAGAGCCTGTCTTCAACCATGTTCTGATAATAACCATGTATGAGTTTACTAGGAAGCCAACATAGCTTCCGAGCAATTTGAGCATCTGCATTTGGGCTGTGAGAATTTAAGGTGCTGTTAATAATGACAATAATACATGGTAGCCTTGGTCACACACCGAGGCTAACTTTCATACAATAATTTAGATTGATGAGTGATGACCTCTATTAGGTAAGTCAGAAAAAGTGACTGTTCCATAAAGACTAGCTGCTATAGGTTGATTACAGGGAGAATAGCTTTTCAATGTTACGAGCTGATAGTTGTTACCACTGTCTTATAGATGTACCACTATTATGTGATTTAACATGACTAACCCTGTGATGTATCTTTTATACAGTTTTCCTAAACACATCAGTGCTTCTCCTCTCACAATCCACTGTAACACAAGCCATTAATAGTAACAATTATTAAAATTGCCAAACAATAATTGTTTAACCATCTGCAGCAATRTATCACTCATAAACTCATTCATATTATTAAGCCAAATAAATGAGGCACAGTAGTAATCAATCAAAAAAACAAACAAACAAACAAAAGAATAATTGACAGACACTTCAATCAATCAAATAACTAACCAATCAACAAAGTTTTTCTTTACAATTTGTACCTTTTTATCTCTTGTTCTCTCACAAACTTCATCAAATAACTAAGATCAAAGATAAGTGTTTTTATTACAGCAATATGCATTAAATTATGATCTTTTTTGCTCATATTTCAAGTAAAAAATATATTATATCAGAAATTATGGGATAACATCATCAATATTTTTTCAGAAAGTACTAGTACTAGGCAACTCAGAAGAACAGAAGAACAGAATTCTGATGAATTTTACTACCCTTTGAGCTAGCAACCACTGATCTATTTGTTTTTGATGTAGAAAAAAGTCATATAACAAATTGTTTATTAAGTAAACCTTGTTTGCTCAGTCTGTATGGTAAAATATCAGACCTCGGTCCGTACTGTCAAGACCTCAGTCTAATATTTTACCATACAGACCTCGCACTTGGTTAATAACCCTTTAACACTTGGAATATTAGTGAAAATGATCATTATTTCTGTATATTGCTGTATTATATATCATAAATACATGTATAATAATTATTAATCAAAGCAATGTAATATCCTCTTTATATTAAACAATTGATATATGCAATAAGCTGTCACTACTTGAAGATTATTAACTATACACTGTAAAAACTTGCAACTTACTGTTGCTTTGGATGTTTGTACGTTATCAGAGCATGAAGAACTCCCAATGTAGAACAAACATCACTTGGTATTTTTTATCCTTTTATGAAGGATAATCCACAGCTGGTTTACATATTCATCTTGTCTTTGCAATAATCATATTACTTACTGTGTCAGAAATGCACTTGATATTCTCTGCCGCAGCWTCACAAGTTACGGTAACAACTTCTTGGCGTACTTTCTCATCTGGATCTCTTGACCGACTGCATAATTTTTCTGATATTGTAAAATAGAACACAAGTTCAATGACTATAATTGCAACAACATCAAATTGAACTCTGTTTGCTGCATCAATATGATTAACAGAACTGCTTCCAATAATAATTGCCAACAATTTTGTCTGAGCTTGCAGAAGAGTACAATACTATTGACTGAAGTTCTTTTGTATGTGTGGCATACAGTGCAACTATAGTAGCATAATATGTAGCTATTCTTGTAAGCAATCATTGACAATCTAAATCTATTTCCATTTATTGCCTTAAGTCCAGTTTTCTGACCTGTGATGTCATGCGCAAGTTCAGGTTGWTGTAGTAAGAAATGTTTGGCACTCTTAACACATTCCACTCGAACATCAACATTGATATCATGGTATCTGCAACAATACACAAATTATCMTTAATAAATACTGTGCTATACCTGTGAAGGTCAAATTACATATTTAATTCTTTTACATAATCAAGTGATTACAAAAACTCTATCCCTTCTACTAATATAACTCAAATGCTTTTGATATAACAAATTAATGATTAGAAATAAAAAACCCTAAGCTTTAACCAGTCTGAAAGACAAGAGAATTACATGCAGCAAGGAGTAACCATAAATTATTTACCCCAAACAAGACACATGCACACAGTGTGTGGTGTTATGTATAAGACAAATTTGTACGAATGGCAGYAAAATGACTACCAGTACAATAAACTTCAATGAGAGAATGAAGCATGAAAAGAAATGAAAGGTGAAATAGCATCCCCTTTTTCTCCCTTTCCTCCATTCCCCCTTTTTTTCCACAGAAAACTCAAACTATATAAAAACTGCAAAGATGTGATGCTGATTTTCCTTAAAAGATCTGARGATTTACAAAAGAAAATGATGTTATCATTTATTTTTCATGAGGACGTGTGCATACCTTCCCAAATAACAATTCCATAAAGGTTTATTTTGTGCTGCAAGCTCAGAATCAGGATCAGAGAACATCTGTGCAAGTAGTTTAGTGACAGTAAGTCGTTCTTCAATATCTGTACTCTGTGTCATAAACAAAAACAAAGAAAAGAAACACTATAAATGCTTTACATTGACATGCTTACTTACTTTTTTAATAAAGAYAAAAGATTGCTTTGACTACTTGTAATGTCTGATGTATCAATCATTGCTTTAATTTTTGTATCCAATAAACAATAATTCTTATGAAAGGAGACATGCAGCATGCAAGCTCAAAGAACATGATTATTGACTTAAGTATAAGGATGGATGTAAGCTCTTCGCTACCGTTTCTCCCAATAAGTGAAACAAGCAACACGATACATAAACAACAACAATATAGAATAAGCTAACCTTTAATTTGAATTCCAACTGGGGTAACACTGACAATAGCACTGGACTGCAGACTCTATTCAGTTCCAGGATAAGCTCATATACTTTATCAGTTAAATCACTTTCAGAGGTTTTGCCAAGGGTAAGAACACTATTAAAAAACTGCAGAAGAAGTCAAGTTAAATGGATTTGCTCGTTACTAGCCTTCATATTGAAAATTATGGGAGACATTTGGCATGKKGAGATGAGTTTCCCAATTCATTGCTTTTAATTTCATKAATATTATATCAGGCTCCATGAACATGYTGTGTTATGTGCATTCTGTGACCATGCCTTGTGACATGATTATTTGAAAAAGACATTAT